AACTTATTGCCATACATCGGGTGACATTTGCTTGGATTATTGTCCAGGCTCACTCATGCATCCATGCATGCATGTATATATGCATGTAATTTATTTATTTACTTCATGAAATATAATACAATGGAGTTAATTAATATTTTGTCGTCGATCGACCTCATTAACATCATCATCTGACCATTAAATACTATTAATAGCAAAGTCACCTCTAGAAAGGAAAGTACATGTACATATAATATCACAGTTACGTTCACTGACTGATATAAATTTTTCAAATATTGAATTAACACAAAACTGCATAGTTTTGAGTACATTTTCAACATATAATAAGAAAGCAATAATTTGAAAAATTCAAGTTTGATTTTTGTTGCTTGTGCCTACAGAAGTAGTCTCCTTTGCATCCGTTCATCGTCGGGACAGGAATCCCGAAACGCAAACGGATGCGAAGCAACGCCAACTCTTCAAAGGCGAAAATACGTGATTTGATTTTTAAATTTTCTCACGAAAAATACACAGCAATGTCACACATACATTTTATTTCTTAAATCCGGTGCTAGGTTTTTTATTAACAAAATAAGTTATACGCGAGGCCCAGTTTTTTGGAGCGAACTGTGGTGAAAACATGGATCGCCATACTATTTTAATGCTCAACTTCAACTCTTCAAGGGCAAAAATACGTGATTGGATTTTCGAATTTTCTCATGAAAAATACCCAGAAAGGTTGCATATAGATTTTATTTCTTAAATCCGGTGCTAGGTTTTTACGATTGTTTTTAATGTCGCCGCATTTCTTCAAAAAGCCTTGAAATMTGGCCTTTTTTCGTCAAATTTGGCACTTCATACGGACTGTCAGGTCAAGCTTGAGTGATCACGGACTATTTGTCCCCCATAAGTTCCATATGGTCCCTAAGGACTTGGCCGTCATTGCGGAGGTTACAGTTTCTATTCTTGTTTAATTTCTTGGGTGTTCTTCGCTGTCTACTGTCTATGTAATTCGACCTTTAGACAAAAGACATGCCTTAAAACAGCGATGATTATCTCGGCATTGTATATTTATTTCCTATATTGCGCGTATTTTTCTTTTTTTTTTATTCTTCCTATATAGAAGAACCCGACAATGTGTTAAATGAACACTATATGTTGGCATACGTACCCTTTCTGTTCACCTTCAACCTCCTTGCATTTTGCACAAATGTCAAGAACGAAAAATGACCAGAGGTATAAGAAAAACCAATGACAAGCTTACGATATGGTCTGCAGTGATATTGTTATAATACCCCGTATTTGACCACTTTGTTGCCCTCGATTAACACTAATTCAACAGTCGTTTCTTTCATTATTTTRTACCGCCACCACCTGTCCGTACCGGAATGTACTCTAAGTCATGCACGCCTTAGAACCTCTCTTTGATGAGTCCCTGTTCCTGCCAGTTGGTGGGGCGTTCCCTCGCCTAGATCACATTGCTTTTACGTGTCTATGTTTTATTAGTCTTAAACTTTAAGAAACGCATAGGTTTAGCAGTTTTTTATGTGACTTACAATAGGCTTTCAAAACATCATTCGCATTTRACATTACCGTTCGTTTTAGTAATTCAAAACATGCCCCTAAACTATATAATCTATAGTAACTATACTGAAGTCTATAGTAAACATTCAGTGGTTACCCACTGCAGGCATTTCTAACAATTCGGAGCTCTATTTCTCCTAAAATATTTTAAAAGCTTAAAAGCAGTAGTCCTTTCCAATGATGACGTTGTTGAGATGCACCATGTGATTGATGTAAGTACAAATTAAGTCATGTTATTGCTTTCGTTTGTGTTTCTGGTGTTCCGAGAGCTAGATGGGGATTTTAACTCTACAGTTTATGGCATCTCATTTAATAWAGCTCTTTAAATGATTCTCGACATCCAATAGAGTAAACTTCTGAAAGAAAGTTCGTACTTATAGCTTTGTAAGAGTCGCTAACTTGAGACTTTCATCAATACCATGATGCACTTCGTCAAAACAGGTATTGCCTCATCTTTGAGTTTCTTTTAGCTTGAAATCTGATTTCTGATTTTTAAGCCAAAAAATGTAAACATTGTCCCCACCTATATCCTCTATGTATATACAATTCCAAGACAGTTTATCGTAGTTTCAATAAARACTGGATATGGACTCAAAATGATCGTCTTTGCTTGTTCAACGCCCCGGCTGAAAATAGAAAAAAAGATCCTGTCAATATTGTATATCTATTCACTTGCGCTTYMCAAAATTTGTACTATATTTCATTGATTTTTTATCGATATTTTTCTGCAATACAGACGTCTTYATCAAAAATCTGGCATTCTTYTTCATCTATTTATCTGTTGTATATCAGAGAATGCATTGTCATCCAAAATCGCGATTATGCTCTTCCTTACATCTTGGTAGTTAAGGACATTAGCAAGAACATAGAGACCTTGATTTTCGACCTTTAAGTGAAAACTAGCCCATATKTTTTATACACCTTAATGCAAAAATGTCGTCCTGTGATTTTTAAAACACAACAAAAGACAAAACACAAATCAAGCCGACCATCCCTTACATTTCTACTCTTGGAATCAATTYCTAGAATGCTAAAGCCCTTTTTGTTTTATTTTTTTACTCATAATACCAGATAGGGGTATACGATAATCAGTGTTATTACCTTCACATATTATCCTTTTGAAATTCCTTGTTTGCTTCAATAAAACCTCGAAGTTTGGAACGATAAAGACGTTTCTTTTATCCGTTAGGAGCTTTAGTTGATTTTGTAATATTAAATCGCTGCCAACACCAATTGCTATTATCTTCACGCCTGCTTTTTTCAGAGGATTTACCGCTTCCCATAATGGTAACGCATCACGAGTTAGGGTCCTTCGTCCCCCAGCAATAAGAACCAGTACTTTGGAACCTGGGTCATTTCCTCCAGTGGTCGGGAATTTGTAAAGCAAACTAGCTGTTGTCAACGCTTTGTCGATCCGCCTTCTCTGGCTGTAATAAGGCATCTGGTCAATTTTACGATTGAATTTTTTACCACTTGCCTGATGATCGAGTCTTACTTCAATCAGCGATGTGTCACCATACGCTAGTACCCCTATTCGACTTCCGTACGCTGTATATCCAACATACGAACCCATTTCCTTGACAAATTGTTTTTGCTTTTGGTAGTTCCGTGGTTTGATTTCCCACGAAGAATCCAGTGCAAATGCTACATCCATGTTGTTTTGGCATGTTGGTCCTAAAGGTAAGAACTAAATGAGCTAGAATGCTTTTAGTAAAAGCGTAAAAAATTACTATTACTAGTTTGTATAGCCTGCGTACATCCGGTTTACGGGTAAACGCTGGATGAACTCAGGCTATAGTTTGTACTGCCGAATTTTTTTTTTTGTTCAACTAGCACTATCTTACTATATTTTGTGATTCAAGTGTTTTACTCTTCTACTGAAAGCATTCTACCGAAAAATTATAATAATGTCGTGTTCGTAACATACCATTTTTTATGTAGCTTTTGGTACAATTGTTTAAATTTGACGCACATTTTTATTGAAGTTGTACGTAGCAAACTTTTCAAGCATTGTACAATTGATTTACCCTGATTATAATTCCATACTATTTTTTTATTGTACAAGAATGGTCTAAAAAGATAATGTCTCAATATAGTTATTTACTATCTTTCACGTGGTAGGAAAACTGTTTATCATATAATTATCTATGAAATACCTATATTTTCTCTCTAACGAAAAGTTGTTATTTTCACTAGTGATATCGATGTGATGAATGCTCATTCGCATAATCTAAGCGATTCGTGTCACTAATTAACACATGGAACCAGTATGAAAACAGTTTTAGTGTTATTAATGATATTAACCATAATTGACGACCTGCWCTCTTGAGAACATGCATTATGCATATCGAAGAGGTCAATCAGTTCATGGGCAGCATAGTTAGTAAGGATAATGCCAAAGAGAAAGATATCACCAGTAGGCTTTAAAAGGAAGCAAGGTCATAATTTGTACAACTGAACAAAGTGTKGAAATCGAGTAATATCCAAAAAAAAAACTAAAGTCAGGATCTTCAATAGAATGAACTATCTGTATTATTGTATAGAGTGGAGTGCTGGAGGATCACTAAAGCAAAAAGTCACCGACTCTCAGTGTTCAAACATCATAGTCCATATCGCAACCCGCGGAGAGCCTTGTGACGCAATGCATTTTGGGATTGATAAGTCTATGAAAAACATTGGGAAATATTGATATTGTAGTCAATCTCAGAAACGAAAAAACAAACAAATATCGACAAGCAAGGAAATACAGCAAGAAAAACCTCCAAAAAMTGTACAGTTAATCGAAAAATTTCCATTTACTAGGCGGATCAAGCAAAATGAAAACAAACATATGTTGTCTGTGGAAAAATCGAAAYTAATTAGTGTTTTTACGATTTTAGTCATTTGTTTTGATGAAGAAAGGGAGATATATATCCCATGATACATTGCAAAACGATTCAAAATGGCGGGCTTGYGATATGGACTATGTCTTAGGAAAATATGCAAGGTCCATTGGCCAGTGGGGAACCAAAACCTACTGGAAAGTACTAAGCAGAACAATATACTGACAACAATCAAGAGGCGCAGGTGGAAGTGGTTAGGGTATGCTTCAAGAAAACACCTAAATGACATCAGCAGGGTTTCATGAACATGGAGCCCTGATAGTGGGAAAAGACGAAGAGGGAGACCTAAAGAGACATGGAGAAGGACTATTTTAAGGGMGGCAAAAAAATTTGGGCGTAATAGGATATGATGATGATGATGACGACGACCTATACAATCTTGGCTCTCAATAGCATTGACTTATATCTAACTAAAAATTCAACTTTTTGAAAAATGGTAACAAGTTAAGATGGAAACAAATTATTGTTTAGAAATCTGTAACATAACAACCAAAAAAACTATTGTACCTGGAGACGGAGGAAAAGAACCACGAACGTCTTCGTCATTGCAGGTTCTTAACGCAAGCTCATGAGATCTTGATAAAAGGTCATCGAATTTGTTCACTATAACCATGTCTTTTTCTGACTGAACTAAGGCTCTTAATTGAGTAGGATCAACACTGCCAACACCAAATACAAGAACCTTAACACCAGCGCGACTAAGTTTGATAGCAGCCCGGCTCAATTTTGATGCTTGTCTTTGTATCCCGTCCGTTAGTATAACTAGGACCTTTGGAATATCCCATCTTGCACCACCACTAACGGTAAACAGATCATTGATGGCCAGATCCATTGCCAAGTCTAAACGAGATTGCCCAACTGTGTAAGGAATTCTATCGAGAGCCTGACGAATCTCATCAAGGGAATGGTAATCCAAAAAACGAAAGTGAACGAATCCAAAACTTCCCATGTGCGTTATCACTCCAACATTGGTCGTTAAAGAACCAACACCAAATGATAAGCTRAAATCCTTGACAAATTGTCTTTGTTTTTCGAAATTTGATGCGCCAATGCTTTCTGAAGAGTCCAAAACAAATCCCAGATCTGTTGCTCCCAAGCAAGGTGGTTGCAATTCTGAAGGAGATAAGCRAGCGTTTACTACAAACGTAGAAAAATTGAGAACTTTATATAGAAGTGTGTAGGATAAATGACCTTTATTGCAAATGCCAGAATTCATGGAAACGACATCATTGAATATCAAATATCAAACCACAACCATAGCCGACATCGCAGTTGTTTTTGGATTTGCCGCTCGCAGTTGACGGCAAGAACAAAAATTGGACCCATTTTTGAGCTAAAYCAGTATTTTGTTTAATTTCGTTTGGTCGTTAAAAAAGTAGTCTGTAAAAAATAAATAAAGGTTCTCAGATGAGTATGTTACCGCGTTGTTGGTGCTGCGCGATGTCGAATGTCGCGCTTAGCTAGTCTAGCTAGTCAGCATATTCCACATTTCAAAATATATTACTATTCATTTATCAATGTTTTCTATGTATTTTGAATGAAATACTCACTGGGGAGAAAGCTGGAACATGTTTTTCGGATGAAATCGCCATGTCTTCTCAAAAGATCATCAAAATCACGTACACGGAAAACGTTTGCTCTATCACCTACGATAACTTGAAGCTCCCGAGGATTAACGGAAGGACCGACAGCAATGACAAAGACTTTTACTTTCGCGTTGTGCAGTGGCAAGACAACTCTTGAAAGGGGAATGCTGTTGTGGTCTTTAGTCTGTCTCCCATTAATGAATAAGATTATCATTCTTGGTACATTATAGGACACCAAGCCTAGGAAAACGTAAAGCATAAAATATATTGGGATATATCAATTGTCGTTTCGTCTAGTAGCTGGATATGTGCTATCACAAGCATCAAACACTACATATAAAAGGTTCAGTTACCTTTCGAAGGGAAGAAATGTTTTGATGATACTGCAAGTGCTTTGTCAATTCTTCTATCTCCTWGGCTGTTATAGTTAATATTGTCAATAGCTCTATTAAGGGTGAAAAGGTCGGAGTAATCTCCAAAATCAACATGTACTCTCACATTATCATCATAAGAAACAACTCCAGTAGTCGTTCCTTTAGGAGTTACACCGTAAGACGCGGCAGTTCTCTTGACGAAAGTTTTTTGTTTGAGAAAATTTGATGCACCTACGTTCTTGGAAGAAGTCAATATGAAAAGCACCTCTCCATTTAGGTCGTGACATCTTTCATCAGATGTACGACCTGCAAACATTAGAAAATAATGCATGCAAGTCAGTTATTTAGTAGCGATATCATGTTGTTTGACTATTTTTCTACCTGAACATGGAGTCGTGGAACAAAAGCGACTCTCCAGGGATTGTCCATTGCAATATTTTCCCCCGTTTGATGGCTTCGGATCAGTACAAGATCGCGATCGATATTGTATTCCTCCCCCACAAGTTTTTGAACATCGCTGCCAGGCACTCCATTGAGTCCAACCACCGTCTCTAACATATCCTGAGTCAAATCAAATATATTAGTTATTTCAGTCAAGCGRAGGCAGAGTTATATATATGAAACCTGAATCTTTTTATACCATTAGTCCAATAGACCAATAGTCTTCTTCACGATTCGCTGCGCCATCTTGAAAGGTAGCCATGACTTTGCATCAAATCGAGACAACCGATGATCATGCATTGATAGATACCTGGTTTTCACACCCACACCTAATGTATCGACTTGTTGGTTTAAATGGTACTAGCACACTCTCAGCTACTCTCAGTAACTTTCTATTCTGCTACTGATCATACACGATGTCTACGATGCATAATGAACATACATGACGTCACACAGATAATTATTATCGATCATTGCGCGCTTAACGGTCGTCGTGCTTCGACGCAAAGGCACTGCTACCTTCCAAGATGGTGCAGGAAAAAGTGAAGGAGACTATTTTGATAAATTTCCGAAATAAATCCAGACCTCAGTTTAGCTCTTTTTTAAAGATCAGGAGAATATAGGAATTATTGCATTGTGGCAACATATTCTATTCAYAATTTTTTTTTTACTTGGGCATGGTGTCGTAGCACAAAAACGACTTTCCCTGGTTCTTCCATCACAATATTTGCCAGCGTTGACGGGCGCAGGATTGGTACAGGAGCGTGATCGATACTGTCTCCCTCCACCACAAGTGATTGAACATGGCTGCCAAACGCTCCATTGCGACCAACGTCCATCTATGGAAAATGATGACAATAGTTTACAGAAGAGTCAGATTAACAACTGCCTCGTTCCCAGGCCTTTTCCTTTTGTTCGGTTTCTCGCCTGACCCCAGGTGAAGGGATAAGGTCGTGAGAACGAGGCTCTAACAACTAAATAAAATCGAATTCATATATTTCTTTTTCAAGAAGTCTTCCATTGAAATGATGAAAAAAGGGTTTGGCTAGTTTATAAACAAGCTCAAACGCTAATTTGAACCTTTTATATTGACCACGATAAAAAGCATTGAAATCAAGGTTCATTGTGAAGAAGATATTTGTCATCATTGTTTCTCGACGACTCGATTCAATCCTTTGTTCGTAATTACATATTAAATAGGGAAATAAAATGTGACAGTAATAGGTCTTTATGGCACGATAGCCACCACGATGGCCCTCATATTCTAATCCAAATTATCCACGCGGTCTTCCAGGGAGATTTTGAGCTATCAACAAGCTCTTTGCTATTCATGCTTGCATAAAATATTGTTTCAAGATGACAAAAAGATATATGTGTAAAATTGGCAGTCCTAGAGACAAGAGATTTGTATAATTTCGGCTTAAAATAAGTACAAAMATATAAGAAATTTGTTTTAAATGAAGTAATTAAAACCAGTCCAAAAAAATTATTCATTTAATGAATATTCATGTTCACAATTAAAAAAACTATAAAGTTGTATAAGAAATATTTTGTTTGCCCCCTRGAAGACCTCGTGGCTAATTTGCATTGTAAAACCATCATGACAGCTGTCGTGCTTCTTGTAAATTGCGATAAAACGTGATGCAAAAGTAAATGAGTAGAGGGACTGGAATCCCTTCTCACCTAAACATGGACCAAGAGAACAAATTCTACCTTCTCTAGAATTTCCAATACAAGGTCTACCTTCAGATTCGTACAGGCTGTAACAATAGCGCAATCGGTATTGACGGCCTTTGCCACATGAAGCTGAACAAGGCTGCCATACAGACCAAGTTGTCCATTGTCCCCCAATTCTATCTGAAGCGAAATAGTTTAGAGTCATTTAACATACCAAAACATAATAAGATTGAAAAGTAAAAAAAACACGCCTGTAACCACCAACCGTCACCGTTAATACCTGAACATCGTATAGTATTACAATATCGTGTCTCTTGTTTCGATCCTTGGCATGCGTAGCCTCCATTTGATGGTAAGGGATTATCACAAACCCTTGCTCGACTCTGGCGTCCTCTACCACAACTTAGACTGCATTTCGTCCACCCAGACCATGGTGACCAGCCACCGTGAACTAGCAATTTGAAATAGACATTTTGATAAGTTTGATCAGTGCAGTTTTTTTTGCCATTCCTCTTATTTTCATTTAAATTCTTTATAGCAATAACCTATATCTATGTACTTACTTTTGGATATGTTATAGATAGATTCTTAGATTATGTTATGTTTTGCCAGATGAAATAATCTTTTTTTAGAATATATCTTAACAAAACCTTGACKCCTAATCAAGCAAATAATCTGTTTGACTTCAGAATACTTTAAGATTACTTTTAACGAAATATTAAGTTGGTATTGTTTTTGGTACTCTTAAATCAAAGACCCAGTGTACACCATTATGTTTTGGGAGCCTGGAGGTGGCCATTTTCAGTTTACAGAAAGTCTATAACTTGTACTGTACGTTTCAAATCTTTGACCATCTAACTTTTCTTAGCACTTTAAACGCTAATATTAGAGTTTTCAACCATCTGACAGGCATCTTTTACAATAACAATAACAGAGATGCGCAAAGCATAATGGTGCAAAATGGGGCTTTAATACTTTGTCGCTTGTTTATGTATCCTTTCAACCGTTAATCTTACAATTTAACGCTTACATGTAAGATAAGTCAATTAATATTTTAGAMCAAGAAATTAACAATCTACTGAAARTTTAGCACCATTAATCATTGCCGATTTTCTGTCCTCTGATATAAACACGGTGGGAGTTGAAAAACACGAGAGAAGCAAGCTTARAARCACGAGCGTGAGCGAGTGTTTCTCTTGCTCCTCGATTGCTTTTCAACTCCCACCGTGTTTATATCATAGGACAGAGACACAAGCGACCTTTTTATAGTTCTTTTATAAAATTTTTATACGTTTTTCGAGCGAAAAACAAATTTTTCCGGTAAGACGTGCCTCTGTTCTCTTATATAAACACGATCTTCAACCAATCAGAGCGCGCGTTATATATAAAAAAATTTACAAAGTATTCTATGACTTTAGACTTGGTATAACATCACACGACAGTACGATTACATCATATAAAATTACCTCTTGGACCTCTAATAACATTACATGTCCGTTGCGCAATCACGTAAGCTTTGTTTAGYAGATCGTCAAAGTCTGTAACATTGTATATATCACTACTTCGCAACACCATCTTCCGAAGCTGTTGCGGATCAACATGGGCGCCAATTCCAACGGCAAGAACAAGTACACCAGCTCGTTGCAGTGGTTTTACAGCTTCTCTCAAATCGATACTGTCTGGATCTTTTGTTTGCATCCCGTCAGTTATTATGATTAGTATTTTTGGAAAACCGGGTCGACTCCCTCCTTCAATCGAAAAAACTTTTTTTGCAGCCATATGAAGAGCTCTATCGATTCGTGTTTGCCCTAGAGTATAGGGTATCTGGTCAACACTCAATCGAAAACTTTCTGAACTAAGATGGCGTCCAAGTGGAATCTCAAGGGTTGCCTTTTGGTTATATTTGATAACCGAGGCCAGAGTTTGGTCACGAGCAAAAGTAAAAGATCCTGCAACAGCCTTAACAAAGTCTCTTTCTTTTTGAAAATCTCTACTACCAATACTCCCTGAGTCATCCATAAGAAAGGAGAGATCAGCCCTTGCAGAGCATGTAATATTAATACAAGGCTGTTGATTGCATGCACGTGTTTCGATTTCCCTCCCAGGACACTGAAGAGCACCATCGTTCTTGCACACTCGCCTGCGAGTCTGTTTACCGCCACCACATTCTGGAATGCACTTATTCCAATCCTTCCATTGGGACCAGCTTGAGTACACTTTAATGAATAAGATATATTTATGAGAAGTAAAATAGTACTATTATGCAATATAATAAACTATACGTATAAGAAATTTAGCAACGCTGCACATAAGAACCATATAAGCCTCAAATTTCAAGTCGATTCTTTACAAATATACAGTCAATCTGTTTTATTCACTTGTAAACAATAGAATATGGCAGTCTGTATGTTAGAGTGCTTACACGGTGTTTGCATATTATATTTCCTGTAGCTAACATGAAAATCCCTCATCCACCAATTCGAGTACTCGTTTTCATACCAAAACTTAAGAACCACATGTAAGAGCTCAAAGCCTGGTTTCAAGTTAAGCAATTTTATATAAGAACCTGTTCAAGTTCTCTAGAGAAAATCTGGGCTCTTAATATGCGGAATGTACTGTATGACATTGGATATAAATGTATTATAGAAACAACGACTCGGCTTTACAGATTAAATTACCCAGAAAAATAACTTGAAGAGAGCCTATGCAATAATCAGCTGCCACTTTCTACAAAAATGTTAAGAGGTAAAATTCGTGGAAAATAGCGGTAAACTAGTATGAGCTGCGTCGGTGTTTCTAAAAAAGYAGTTGTGCAAAAAAAATTCAGTARYACCGTAAAGAAGTAGATGAATCCTATTTCTTTGCTTTGCTAACGCACAACTCAGACAGGTAAAAATCTGAATAAAAGATACCGTTAGCAATCTMACCTATATTTGACGGAGGTACAGGTGGCTCTTCAATTCTGCTGCAGGTCCTTTGAGCAATTATATACGTCTTTTGTAGCAAATCATCAAAATCGTTTACGGTGAAAACGTCATTAGGATTTTCTACCATTGACAGAAGCTCTTTTTGATTAATATTAGGCCCCACTCCTATAGCAAAAATCTTGACTCCTTCTTGGCGCAATGGTTTGACTGCTTCACCGAGATCTAAGGCGTCATGATCTTCAGTTTGAAGTCCATCTGTTAAAATAATAAGGATTTTGGGAAATCCAAATCGAGTCCCTCCTTTAATGCTAAAAATGTCTGTACGAGCGAGTTTTAGAGCCTTGTCTATTCTTGTTTGACCTAACGTATACCCAATACGATCAACTTCGAGTTTGAAGTCTTCAACTGCCATATATTTTCCTAGAGGAATACTGACTTTAGCATTGGTACTGTAGGTAATAACGGCAGCGATGGCTTGATTTTTTGCAAACTCGTAGGAACTGGCAACACCTTTGACAAAGTCTCTTTGCTTTTGAAAATCTCTTTCTCCAATACTGTTGGATGCGTCCATAAGAAATGCGATATCTGCCTTCGCACTGCATTGGCGAATGTTCTCTGAAATGAGAAAGAAACAGTCAAAATTCTTAAGGAATCCCATAATATTGCCATGAACATGCCATACTTTAATGGACGTTTTGCACGATCGGTGAGTATGGAATGATAGCCAATCGAATAATTGTCTATTATTGTGAACAAAGGATCACAGCCATGCTCACAATCGCTGTCTCGCTTAGAAGCAAAGCCACGGTTAATGATTTTATGATGGAGGAAATTGTGAAGGAGACATCAAAAAGATTCAGTTATATTATCACAAACATGACACTTAGAGTGCTTTCCATTTAGGTAGAACTGGCCGGCCAGTCCGCTATATCTAGAGGAATATTATGCTTTTTGTCAACATTTTTCAGTCATTTCGAGGTTTTCTATAGAAATAGTGGATAGAATTTGAAAATTTGAATTTCCCAACTAAATTGCAATGATGTATAATGACATTTTCACTGGGTCTGGCCAGCCGGTTATGACAAATGGAAATCGCCCTTAATGACACTTTATGCGCTCTGAGGGAACAATTGACAGGATTCATCACATAAAAAACATACCTGAACATGGTTGTTGGTTACAAGCACGGGCTTGCGTCCTTGATCCCAAACAAAACCGGCCTCCGTGATTTGGTGGAGGATTAGTGCATGATCTCTGTCGCATTTGTCTCCCTCCACCACATTCTGGAATACATTTATCCCACAGGCCCCACTGCGACCATTCACCATCGACTTTTTGCGCTGGAATAAAAAATGAGCAGTTTTATCATTTTGATTTTATCCTCTTGTTGGATCTGTAAAATCAAATATTTCGCCCGAAAAGGAAGATTTTCAAAAACAAAATGTCCTTCCAAAAAGAACCATATTCGTGGATCTATCTTACCTACGGATTCACAAGTTCTTTGTGCAATTTGGAACGTCTTTTCTAGAAGGTCATCAAAATCATGTACAGCAAAAACATCATCATCTCTGCGAACCATTAAACGCAACTCAGTTTCATTGATCTGTCCGCCAACTCCCACTGCAAACACTCGAACACCAGCTCGATGCAAAGGTTCTGC